GCATGTCTCATCACTGCGGGCCAAACCTGACTCTCCAGTGACCTCTAAAGGATGGCAGCCACCGGGCCGCGAGGGGGAACAGGCCAAGGCATGAAATCTATTCCCACCTGGGGTGGCCTGGCGCCAGTAACCTACTACAGGGACAAAACGCATTTCTGCCAAAAGCATTGGGTTTTGAGATTTGTTTCTGAGTCTCTGGGATCATGGCCATTAAGCAGTTCAATCAGGAACCAGAGAGGCCATGCCTCCAATTATATAGCTGAGCCGGAGGTGGTTTATGGGTGTGTCTCCCACATACCTAACTTTTGGCCGTTTACTCTCTTGGTAAACATTGCCCCAAGTTTTTGGGTCTGGTCAAAGGCACAGCAGACATTTTGGGATATCTGGAAGTCTGAAGGTGCCATCAAGCTGCTGAAGCACTCGTGGCAAACATACACCCACCCTGTCGTATTTTTTTGAAAATCCGTATTTTTATGCATAATGTTCTTTTTGTAACTACTGGAAAGTAAAGTTGAAAGTAAAGTCACAAATTTTAATAAAAGTAATGAGATGTCAAAATTAAGTATGCGTATGTTATGACCATATCATAGATATAGTTCATGAAGGTAGAATAATATATTTGCTTTTGATGATTATGCAATATGATTTACCCCCTACAATTCTACTGTTATTTTGCTTTTGATCAAGGTTTTGTAACTTAATAAATTTCCTAGAGAGGACCCATATATTATTTGAGTGGTTGAGTGAAAAGGAAAGTAGATGAGAGCCTTGATTTCTATCCAGTTGATCTCATTTTAGGACCATCACTTCTTCACCTCCAGATGGTGAGTTTGAGGCATGATTTGAGACCTGTTCATCAACAACTTGTCTTAAATAAGTATCTTTCCAGTAAGCACTGTGAGTCATATAAATCTCTAAGAGATTATGCTCTTTGATGCTGTTTGTTACTTTTTGATACTTAAGAAATGTGTTGCCTAGTTGGCAAATAGACACAGTTGGCTTCTGAGTTACCTCCTACCCTAACTTGATCATTTAAACAGAGAGCACTACTGTTACAACAGAGAAGAAAGAACAATTTAAAAAATACTATTTCTGACAATTAATATCTTGCTTTCTTAATTGCCATGGCTACTGATATCTCTGAGGGGAAAAAAATAGAACACAGGTTTTACAATTCTCACTAGTGGTAAATTCTCTTTGCATTATTTAAGAAAAGCTTTAAATGTTCAATGAATGTTCTTAGGCTAATGACAATTGATGCCCAGAACATAACAATAATCTACTGAAATAGAATAGCATTTTGGAAAGTGGCAATTTGTGAAGAAATTGCTGATAGCATCAGCACATGCTGGGAACTTGACATATAAGTAGGCTAAAGTTTGGCTGTGGAGTTATTTATCTGGCCTTTCATTTGTAAATAAGAAAGTATTTCCTTCCCTTCAAGAAGGATCTAGGGCAGTTATTAATAAAAGGCTACTGATGCCTTTGCCCACATAGAGGCAAAACTGGCATAAGTAATTTAGGACCCTGATCTTATAGATCCAAGAATGTGGAAGAAACTCAACTGGTTATTTAGTAGGACAGTGTTATAAAGTTTGAGATAACCAGACTTTGAGTCAAAGTATTTGGACAGAATCCAGGGTGCACTAGTAGCTGTCACTTTTTTAACTTTCTACTCCAAGTTCTCACCAAAGGTAATATGATTTGACTCCAGGACACTTCTTGAGCCTCAATTTAGAGTTTCTCCTCTGTCCTTGCCTCATCCCAATCTCCCATTTCTTTCAGTCTCAGTGACACCTTCTTGCTGCTCTGCTTTCCGGATTTTCTGTTATGTTTAGGAAGCTTTTTCCCAGATGCAGGCTGATAGTTTTTGAGCAGGTCTCGTGTTCCATGGTATTTTAAAACTTCACATGCTCATAGTACTGAATTACTGCAGAAAATATGTAGAGGGGATTTACATTGGATGTGGGAGGGACCAGAAGCAGCATGATGGTACAGAGCAAGGGTTGGGACCAGGGCACTTTGGGTGGGAGCCACAATTTCACACTGTGGACTTCCACAGACCACAGACCCAGGTATTTGTGAACCATCTTCCTGATTATACTTTTTAATGTAGTGTCCCGATGGAATGTTTCTTTTGGTCAGTTTGGTTTGGTTTCGTTTCTTTTTTTTTTCTTTTTGGGTCACACCCGGTGATGCACGAGGATTACTCCTGGCTTTGCAGTCAGTAATTACTCCTGATGGTGCTCCAAGGACTGTATGAGGTGCTGGGAATTGAACCTGGGTCAGCTGCGTGCAATGCAAATGCCCTACCCACTGTACTATCACTCCAAACCCAATTTAGTATTTCTTAATATCACTAAACACCACCTTATCTTGTACTGCCTTTTCACATGCTTCTTCCTTGGCTTGTCTTCTCCACCAGAACACACACACACACACACACACACACACACACACACACACACACATACACACACACACACACGCACGCACACTCGCGCGCCTTGTGGAGGAAGAACATGACAGGCCTGGGAGGCTGGAGGAAGGCCAGGTTGCTCCTGTGAGGAGTCAGGGTCACGGTCTTTCCATTGTTCATCGATTTGCTCGAGTGGGCCCAGTAATGTCTCCATCGTGAGACTTGTTACTATGTTTGGCATATTGAATATGTCACGGGTAGCTTGCCAGGCTCTCTGAGAGGGGCGGAGGAATCGAACCCAGCTCAGCTGGGCTGGCTGTGTGCAAAGCAAACGCCCTACTGCCATGCTATAGCTCCAGATTATATATATATATATATATATATATATATATATATATACCTTTATGAGGGAAAAACTTTATTCTGATTTGTGGATCACTATCCTCTGCAACCAGAAATGTTCTGGGTGAAGAACATGTGTGGGTTTAGACTTGTACATCATGTTTAAGAGTCTTATTCTTCAAATATTTATGAAGCACTATTTGGTACAGGACTTTATGACAGCTATTAGAAATAAAAGGTGAGCAAGAGTGATAGAGCCTCCTGTTCTTCCAGAGTCAGAGCATCATTGAAGAAAGAAGCCACACAAAGGCAGCTGTAGTAAGACAAGCATTCTGTTTGAGCTAACAAAGGTGCAAGGGGGGAATCAAGGTTTGGAGAAGCCCTCGGAGGAGGCACTCTCAGTACTAACTGCAGAAGCCTGGCGTAAAGAATCTGAAGTGTGGAAATGGGGCTGAGAACACAATTTTGGCAACAATGGTGGGAAAGCTAGAATATGAGAGCTCATTCCAGTCTTGAAAGCAGTTCAAGATGTGAGAGGAACGTAGGAGGGACAGAATGGATGTAGTTGTCTGTAACCGGAAGTTGGGTTTCTACAAGCCAGGATTTTACTGTTTGAGCTGTAAAAGGCCCCAGAGGAATTCTTAAATCCATGTGATTTTTGTTTGGCCTGATTCTGTTCATTACCATTACTACCGAACTTAGCAGTTTCCATTTTCTAGATGGAACAGCTGAGGCTTAGATAAACACGTCTACTCTGCGGGCTTGTTTATTTTTCTAGATACACTGCTGTCAGGGTCTCTAACAAGTCACCTCTCATTTTCTTTCCTTCCTCCTGGTAACTGCTCTTGTCCAACGTCAAACACAAAACTATGTTACTAAGACAATTTACTGATTTTTCATAAGGCGATGCACATGCAGTCATTTGCTGAGCATCCAGTGCCTTGCATCAGTTTCTTCAAGGGGGACTGGGGAACTAGTGTGTTAGAGACAGGACAGACGTGGGACCTGATTTCTCTGTTTGTCTAGACTTAGGGGACTGGATTTGAACCCGAAAGTATTTATTTGACAAGGCAACTCTGAACTGCCTTGACACAGTAGGGAGAGCTTGAGATTGCTCTGCCCACACTTTGGGCATGCATGAGCACTCCCTGCAAAACACAGCTGGCATGGCTAATTTTAGCATTGCCCGCTTAGAAAAAAAAGGGCCCTTTAAGAAAATATTTTTCTCTCAAATAATTTGTATTATAATGTAGCAGCTGATAGACATGTCAGAATATTACTTATTATCAGTAGGGTAAAACTCTGCCAAGTAATTATGATTTTAGTTCTTTGTGTCTTCTTTGTGTGTGTTGTGTGTGTGTGTGTGAGAGAGAGAGAGAGAGAGAGGAAGAGAGAGAGGAAGAGCAAAAGGGAGAGAGAGATCCATTAAGTGATGGAAGCATTCTGAATCAAAATAATCATAAAGAGATTGACAATGACAGAAACAGTGGCTTTTATGTATAAAGAAGCACTACCTAAGGGGATACATCTTTGATTTTTACAAAATGGATGTAATATAAGAATGATTATTGTGCTGTGATAAGTTTGTCATCGGGATCTAATAGTGAATGTTTTGTAAATAATCTGGGAAAAAGACTCTGATGATATGTTTTCAATACTTAGACATACTCCCTTTCTTTCAAGAAGTAAAAGGTTGGTTTCTAAAGTCTCAGGTTCATCTGACTTTAGCGTGTTAACAGGTTTTGAAAGCATTTGGGACACACTTTTTCCATTTTAACCAGCAAGGTTAGTTGTTCTGCCTTTATTTCTTTTTCCTTTCTCTTTCTTCCCCCCTTCATCCTTTCTTCCCTCCCACGGTCTTTCATGTTTTGTTTAGCCATTTGGCTTACCTTGAAACTTGACAATAAAAGAAGGCAGCTCTCATGCCGGGTAGATGGAGGGAAGGATAAATAATCCACCGGCTGCATTCGAGTTCCCTGGGTTCAGTTCTAGAGGCAGCAGCTTTGCTGCAAAAATCGCTTTGCTATTCAAGATAGCCAGCAGAGGGAATCGGAACTTTGCTTGCAGCAGGGGTTGAAGCAGCTTTTTTTTTTCTTCTTCTTGGAGGAAATACTGCAGCCTTCTGGACTGCGTACGCTGCTCCCTGGAGAGGCTCTCTCGGTTCCACCCACCGGCTGGAAGGAGGGGAAGTGAATGAAAGGACAGGACAAGCCCCGAACACCATGTCACTCTGGGAGGGAGACAGCAGCAACTAAGCTGTGCAAGGTTTTTTTTTTTTCCCCTTTTTCTTTTTCCCCTTTCTTTTTCTTTCTTTTACCTTTTTTTCTTCTTTCTTTTCTTCTTTCTTTCTTTTTTCCCCCTCCTTTTCTTTAAGGTGGGGAAAGAGACAAACAGGAGACAGGAAGCTGATCTACCAGGATTCCGAGTTGTGTTTAAAAGGACTTTGATTTTATTTTTTTTTCTTTTACAAACGCTGGCAGTTGACATCACTACAGACAGCCTGGTTAGAGGAAAACTGCCTCATCCCAAGTGGACCCCGGCAGCTGTGGGAAGGCAGGCAAGATCTGGAGAGGCTGTGTGGGATTTTTTTTTTCTCCTACGGATCCCCCTCCTTCTTTTTTATTTTTCCTTCTGGTGTGTTTCTTTTTGAAATTCTTGCTGTGTTGGAACTAGCGAGTGGTTGTGGAAGACGAGGAATCGCTGAAGTCTCATCAGTCATCCGGACTGTCAGGAATAGTGGTTTAAGAGGAAGCTCGGCCTGGGGCACTATACCCTGTCATCCAGTTCCCTGCCTCGGAGATAAAGATTCAGCTACATGGGCAAACGCTTGGATCAGCCACAAATGTACCCCCAGTACACTTACTACTATCCTCATTATCTCCAAACCAAGGTATGGCTTGACCCACTGTCTGGCAATCAGCGTGGTATCCTTCTGCACTTGGGATGGGAAACAGACAGGCATGTGAATTATTACTAAACGCACCCCCCCACCTCCCCCAACCCCCAGCCCTAACTCTTCCTGCTTTTTTGAAATTAGTAACATACCAATGGAGTTAATGAGGCAGAGGAGACTAAGAAGCCAGCCAGCCTGGAATCATGGCTTTCTCTTTAAGGAGAGATAATAGTTTCACTGGAGTTCCTTTGTTGTTATTTGGCAGCATAAATGTTCCTGAAATCCGTAAAGTCCTTTGCAGATGGACAGGGTTGTTAGAAAGGAGGTCACAACAGTGATTATCAGGCATCCTAATACAATTTCAGGGGCTTTTCGAGTGAGCCGTTCTTTGTTTGTGGCTCTGAAAAGGATTTTTTTCAACTGGAGAGGGCACGCTAGTGTGGGGGTGACTCAAACTTTTAATCGCTGAGTATAGAATGAAAGACGGGTGTGAGAATGGAGAGGACAGCTAAGGAAAGTCTGCAAGTTTGTGTTTTCCTTTCTTTCTGCTTCTTCTATTTTTAAAATGTGCCATACACATCTTATTTCATATTTAGCAGTATCATGATTGCGAGAAACTGACTTTCAGAGCCTCACAGTTGATGTTCCTTACTTTTCAAAGCCCGATTTTCTGTTATTGGTTATCTGTTATTCTGTTATTGGAGGCCCGGGTTTTGGAAGAGATGAAATGTAACTGTTATTAGTTGGAATGGAATTGGTTAAATACTTTAGGCTTTATGTGTGTGTTCGGATGATGTGAGGGGGCTGTTGGCAAGCCCATGTAGCTCGGCATTGGGCAGTGCCAATAGTGAACTTTATCCTGCAGTTCAGAAGGAAAAGACTCTCGGGTGTGAAATCACTCTTCCAATTTGTCAGTTAAATTGAACTGGATTTGAGGGTGGGGGCTGGATGTTGCTATGTTGGCAGAGTTACCACTCTGAATCTATAGGTTATATTCTTTAGGAATGAGATTATTTTACATTGCATTAGCCAGACTCTATGATCTTAATAAATATGCTGAGAGTGAACAAGGCGTGCCTAAGTGATCGGTCCTGTCACAAGGACTGGCTGATGTGATTAGGGTTTGATAATTCATGCTGTGGTTATCTTTCATTTATTCCGTCTCATCAAACAATGCCTACTTGTAAACCAGACAAGACAGCCGACTTTTGGTATTATAGTAAAGATTGTTGCTTTTTTTCCTCCTCTTTCTTTTTCAATTGCTCTGTGATTTGCCCTGCCCCTCCAAGGTCGATTCACATTGCCTTTTGCCTTTGTGAGCATTTAGTTTGTGCTGCTGCTGCTGCTTAAATAGACCAGCCCTCCTGCTCCTGTGCCTTGAGTCTTAACTCTTTGGGGGATTGGGTTGAGAGCACTGCCTGTCTTCCTCAAGGAAATGGCAAGGAAAGGACAACTTAAAAAAAAAAACATAACAGAGGAGCACATATAAAGTCATCCTCAAAGGGGAAAAAAAAAACCCAAAACTCAAGGGTTACATGAAAAATATCAGACATTCCATCCCTTTTAGTCATTTGGCAAAATTTTCCCAAATGTTTCAAAAATTAATGCTTTCTTTTATAGATCTTGTTTTTTACCATGAAGTATATTCAGTTAAACTTTAAGTCAAAATGAATGGAGCTATGCTTTTCTGCTTGAGATTTATTTTAACCTATTTCTCAGAGGAAACAATGTCTTGTACATTGTGTGAAAGACACAGGATGCTGGATGAGCTACATAGTTGAAAAGTCTGCGTGTGTGTGCGTGTGTGTGTGTGTGTGTGTGTGTGTGTGTGTGTGTAGGGGGAGAGTGGAAAGAGGAGGAGAGAGGGAGAGACAGACAGACACAGAAAATGCATTAGGATAGAGAATGAAGATGGACCAGCCAGAAAAAAGGAAGAAGAGGACAGCCTGGGAAATATAGAGGAAGTTTTCTTTTATAAAAAAAAATCTGTTTGGGGATCCTATGTAGTTTAGTGTTGTGTAGACAGGCAGCATCTGGATCTAGTTACTTTCAAGCTAGTCAAAGCCATCAAGTTCTGGAACATTTTTAAAGAAGTTAGATCCATTAGGCGATCTAAGCTGATATTTCTGTAATCAGATCAGGGTGGTAGGGAATAAAAGATCAGCCACTTCACCTATCATGGTAGTTTATATTGGTGATTATGTTGTAAGATTTCAACAGTGCTGTGAAGTCATAGAAATTCTTATATCACATCTGAAATGACAGATGTTAATAACTTTGCTGTAAGTTGACTTGAAAATGTACCATGTTTAGAACAGGGGTACACAGAGAAAGGGAGGAAGGTCAATGACCAAACATATTAGAAATGTGCACACTTTGTATAACATTAATTGTATCTGGTGTAGTATTCCCTCAGTAGATACCTCAGTATAACCTGAAAATAACTGCATTAATTCAGTATTACAGTTGACACCATATACTAATAACCTATGATGATTTTAAAGAAAATGCGTGCTACTTACCTGGTAAGCTTAGATGGAATTTATAAAATCCACTGTGCTTTGGAGTTATAACACAATTTAAAAGAATAATTATGATTGGTAAAATTAGAATTCTATGGTTGATAGTACAAATCATATTCTGATTCCACCATTGCTTCCAAACGAAAAGCAGTGTTCTCTTTTAAAATTGCTTCTTGTCATAAATATATCATACCTTGAACTGATCTCTAACTTCAAGTATTTTTAATCAATCTCCAAAATCATTTGCTGATACTAGCTTTGTGTGCAAAATTTTTATGGAATTTTAAGGAACTTGAAAGTGTGTTATTATATTTATTTAGAAATTGCAAAGATGACGTGATTGTACTACTTAAATGCAAGTGTTAGTTATAACTGATATTTTCTCATGAAACAAGAAAAATAATGTAAATGGTTTCCTGCTGCAAGGCATATTAAAGTTTGAGAAAAATGCGGGACCTCTTCCTGCCTTCTTTGCTCCTTCTCTTTCCTATAGGAGAGCCAATGTCTTATTTTTGCTCCTTAGAAAAGGCAAAATATTAAAAATAAGATAGTTTATTCTTTTAAATAATTTTCTAAATGCTTAAATGAATAGATGAGGAAAAATGTCCACAATACATGAAAATCCAGTAGCCAATCTTTAGCTACATTTATAGAAACATAGCTAAAGTTATCTAGATCTCCTAGATATCACAAATAGGAATATTGCTTTTAATTAAAGAGAGTGAAGAAATCTTAGTAATGTGTCTTATTTAAATAAGAGACATAATGCATTTTGTGTTCTATCAGTACAACTTTGCTATTTGGAGGGCCCACGAATCCACTCAACAAGTTTTAGACAAAGGAGACCAAAAAAATAGTTCATCAGCTTGATGATGATATAGATTTTGGTGTTTGATGTAGTCATAATCTAAGATTTCTTAAGAATTTTGTTACAATCTATTCAAAGCAACCGACCTGTTGATATTGTAGAGATTGCATTACTAGAGCCAGGGTGAACTTCAGCCTGGGTCTGAATCAAAGAATCTGAGATACTTTGAAGGATTTTCCTAGAAAAATTAATTAGTTGAATCTACGGTAGCTAAAAAGAATGAAACAATGGTCACAACTTGGTGAATTAATATTTTTCTATTGAGGGATAGCTTTATGTCTCAAATATGATACTTGTAAAACTTTAGTCCTCTTCCTGAAACTTGAAACGTAGCCTAAGAACACATAACAAGTTCATTCCTTCTTCCTTTTCTACCCCCTTACCATTTTGCTGTGTTTCTATCAGTTAATCCTGTGCACTTTCTACTCACATTGATGTTACATCAGTTTATTGCAGAAAGTGTTTCTGACTCTAGGAACCCACAGGTTTTCTCTGGCTGGTGGTACTTAGATTGTACAGAGTCTGGTTTAAAGTTGAGATCAGGTGTACGGAGTAATTTATCAACTACACACTGGCTCCATGCAGTATTTCTAACCATCTGCAGCTTGGATGACCGTCCATCTCTAAAGGTTCTAGCTAGAGCCCAGTTAATTGTGACATAGGGAGAAGGACTACTTAGAAACTTAAGGACTGAAGAGCAGGCAAAGAAATAGAGAGGATCTTTTGGGGTAAAGGGTGCTCTTAAAGCATGAACGTACAGATCTTTCTAAAGCAAAACAAAGCGGCCTCCTTAGTGCACTTCTGTACATGAGAATGTAGAAAATCTTGCAGAGGGAGGGAATGAGTTTAGAATTTCCTTAGTACTTCCTGCCTCAGATTTGCATTGATAGCCAGAGTTGGGAACTTGCCAGTTTTAAAAAGCCTTGAAAACTCCCAAGTTCTGTTTTCCTTTGAATGGCTTAGACATACAAAACTGGTTTTCTAAAAATCTTCCAGCCATAGAATTTTTAGGTATAACTCCAGATATCTCTCTTGCTTCAGGGGGTAATGTGATATCATGAAACTATGATAAATCTTGCTTGTCTCATTTTAGAATTGATATGATTTTAATTGGTTTTAAATAAGAGTAGAAACAAGAAGGACCCCCTGCTCTTTCTTTTTATTCCCTCACCATATCGTTATTATTACTGAAAATGCTTTTCTATAGCATAGTCATTGTTTTTGCAACACTGTGTTTAAGTGAAATAGACAAGTAAAACTTCATGTTTTTCTGACAGAACAATTCCAAACTTAAAGGATATAGTTTGTCTTTTACTTCTAACAGCACCTTTCTAAAACATTTTTCTTTCACTTTCTCTCAATTTGGCTGAATAATAACAGAATTATAATTCAAAATTATTTCCATGAAATAATAAAGTCTACTTGGAGGCAGCTGTAGAGATAATTTACAAGGAGGGAGACAGGAAAAGAAAAGTGTGTGTGTGTGTGTGTGTGTGTGTGTGTGTGTGTAGTGGTGGTTGTGGTGGGGGGGCTGCAAGTTCATTCTAGGTCTTTCTGGCTCCAGGAATTCTGGAAAGCTTTGGTTCTTTGCACTAATATGATTTTTA